CCCCCGTAAATACCTGCAAGTTTAATGAAGTCTCCCGGTCCTTTTGGTGTCCCATTTATTCATGTTCCCCAACCCCAGCACAACAAACGGTACTTTGAAGAGCATCTTTTTTTTTTTTTGTCGGCTCAATGAAGTGTCCTTGGGATTTGGATTTGAGATCAAAAGAAAAGCAGTAGTTTCAATTTCAATTCAACTCACGAGGGCTGTTTGTCCCAGTAAAACGGAGCGTTGCCCAGGCTTTGTTCTAAGCCGTTGCTGGACTACGATTAGCCATGCTAGCTCGGGCCATGTGGCCCCATGCCGCTTGCCTGCAGTCGTCCGTTCTCGCCATGGAGGACTTTTCTTCCTGCATCAGCAAGCAAATGGCAAAATAACCATAGCCCTGTTTTATTTCTTGTTACAGTAGTGAATCCAGGCCAGCACAGATTGTCGTTAAAAATTCAAAAATGCACGTGTTGTAAGTGTAAAAATATAATACAAATAAAAACTGCACTTGTTTTGATAAAGCTGTTTTGATGTGAAATGGCGTTCATTTTTTGAAAACTGTTCTGATCGTCATAATTTTTTTGGAGCTTCTGGCAATTTTGTAATTGCAATGTTTTTCGACGGTGAATTTTCGATTTGATCAGCGTAAGCTGTCATCGTCAAAATTATTCCCCCAAAAAAACAATTCGATTAAAATGTGAACTACTGAACTCAATTTTATTTTGACATGCATCCAGACATGCAGTTCAGATTGTCGTCTTATTTTTTTTTTTTTTCCCCATAAGCCCTCCATTGACACTTGGCCAAGTTTATCAGATCACATTCTCTTTTGTGGACGTGAGAGTTACGCATCGTCAAACGGAAATGCATCTTTCCACATGCCCCTTTCTTACTAACCACCTCTCGGCTGTGCCCATCTAAAGGATGCCAAGTTTGTGGAGGAGAGGCGGAAGCAACTGCAGTGTTACCTTCGTATGGTCATGAACAAAGTCATCCAGACGTTGCCGGACTTCACGGCCTGTCCCACCAAGGAGACCCTGCTGTCTTTGCTGCCTTTCTGTCTGTAAGTGGACACACACGCACGCACACACGCACACACAACCCGCAATGTTGCCATGAACCAAATGTCCCGCTGTATCCCAACACATGCTCATCGTCACACATGCCACGTACGACTGTAGGAATGTTGACATCTCACTTTTAACGCTAAAACAAAAACCCTGATGCAGACTTGTCATGCAATCGCCTGTTCCTTGAGTTCGCTCGGATTTTACCCAAAGGCAATTCACTGTGATGAGTACAAAAGAAAACACAGTGCAGCTACGGTACTTTTTGTCAAAAGTCTCTTTCAACGTGTTGTACCTGCGCTTATTCGTCGAACTCGATCAGTTTCCCTTTGCGCTTCACTGGGCTACCTTTGTTCTTTGTTGTTGAAGTCGCCCGCGTCATCGTTTGTATTTTAATCTTTCCAGGGACAGCGGTTACTACAGTGGACAGTTTATCGTGTTATCAGGTTACAAGGTGCATGTAAGGGTTAAAATAAAGTGTCATGTTACTGCATCTATGGGTCCCTTGAAAGGTGCTTTAAAATCCAAAAGCTGTTATTGTCGTTATTATTCACAATTAACGACAGGCATTGGAAAAATGAACCCCACCGCCATGCTCGGATTTAAATTATTCAAACGCGATTTGTGCCACACACATTGGGCTTTTTAATCCCCCCCCCCCCCGAAATGTCATACAAGTGTTAAATGACAACAAAACGCTGTATTTACCACTTGAATTAAAAGTGATTATGTGTATGTTTCCCCTCATAGCCATTCACACCCCTGAAGTCCTTTTGAATGTTTCCAAAAAAAAAAAAAAAAGAGCCAAACAAAAGGCCAAATGCACCCAGTGGATCTGATCGATGCGTTGCTTTTTGTTGCTGAATATTTATCGGTTCGGTCTGACCTTCTTAGAAAACGCATCTTAGGACAAAACATCAGATAAAGAAGATGAACGTTTGAATATCTCGGGTTCAATTTCCCCTTGAATGCTCGCTGAACGAAAGGCATGTCAGGTCTCACACAAAACACCAAATGAACATTCAACTGGAATTTGTTAGATTTGTTCCTTTTGGGGGGGTTTTCCAAGCCACTCCGCCACAGTTCCTCTGTTCATTTGTGGCTCACAAATTAGTCTGAGGAGTGGGGGTGGGGGGAGAGAAGAGACCTGTAGGTTTTTAATTAAAATCAATGCATTGTTGTAAAAATATGAAAATTAAAATGAGAGATAGCGATTAAACCAAATGCATGACTCTATTATTATCTAATAGAATGGAAATGGGCCCAGAGGCCCCTCTCAACAGTCAAAGCACATTAGCTTATCCTAACGAGAGGCTCTGTGATTATATCGCCTTCATATCTAAAAGGCGAAATCAAAATGTTTCTTGGTTGCACACGTACCCGCAAAAATGTATTCGCGGTCGCCTAGCTGGGCTGCTATTGTAGCGTCCTATCATGGCAGTTGAAGCGCGTTTTGGAACAAATGAATAGCTTGGCGATCAGTGACGTGATTGGAGGCGGGTCCATTAGCATTAGCGTCTAGCTTTGTTGCGCTACCGATGGCCTCAAAGAGTTTCACAATGGGTGTGGGTCGCATGTACATTCGATGTTTCAAAGCTTCTTTTCTCGCCACGGTTTCTTCTTCTATTTATTGACCGTCTGGATGCTGCCCTCTCATGGGTAAGCCTTGCTACTGCAACAGAGGAGATTCACAATTGTGTCCAAATGCGTATGTGTGCAGATCGCTGAAGACATGTGGAACAAGCAACCTGCATAGGTGGTGAGGTTGAGTCTCAACGTCACCTGAGGCAAAGTTCAACTCAAAGAAATACACCGACAGATTTTCAAGAAAGCCTTGAGAAATTGCCCAAAAAGGAGCTTACTTTTCAAAAGGGGTGTACTCCTTCATTTGAAGCACTATACATCACAGGGCCAATTAATCACTGTAAACACAAGCGCAAACCATACAAGCATAAATCGGAGCGGCAAATTACACTTTTTGATTTATCATATCTTGGATAAAACATCGAAATATGCCGGCAGACTTTTGAACGGTATTTTTTTCTTGCCTTGAGGGTTCTCAAGCTTGTGCTGGTTGTCGTTGCATTTCGACACGATACTGACTTGAATACTGAGCAGGCTTTGCCAGGCTTTATTGAAATGTTATTCATTTGACTGCAGGGGAACATAATTAGAGCAAGCAGGTACACACGCACGCGTGATGTGTGCACGGGCACACACACACACACACACACACACACACACACACACGCGCGCGCGCGCGCACACAAGCCGCAATCTAATTGATTGTCTTGGCAGGAAGAGTTTGCAAATAGTACATGCCGGATAAACTATTTCATCTCCACTTTTTCTCTTTCTTGCCCATTCACACACACACACACACACACACACACACACACACACACACACACACACACACACACACATGCACACGCTTGCCTAATCTGGCACAATAAAAGGTTACATCCTTATTCTGGAGTCAAACTGCCCCCAAACTGCTCTTGACAGCAAAACAAAGGTCCCCCCAACACTTTGTTTTCCCCCGAGGCAGCAAGTCAATAAGGCGGGAACTAAGACTGAGAGAGGGAGTGTGTATTTTGTCTTCTGAATAAACCATAAACGCGTCGCTGTCGAGTTGCATACCAACCGCGAAGTAAAGCCGAGGAGAGGTTGCTGGTCCTGACAAGTGATGAAAACATGAGATAATGCATTGTTCAAAAATAAGGGTTATTCATCAATTCCCATTCTTAACTGTCATACGAATGAAAAAAATTGAATATTATTCATAATAATTTCATTTTAGCGGAAACCGATCACATGACCGAGAAGCGAGCCTTGACCCGCGTCGGGAATGATATACTGTCGACGGATGTAACAGAGAATTCGGTAATTTTTCAGAATAAAACATCTTTCGGATTCCGAAATGAATAAAAAAGAAGTAGTTTAAGTTATTTATTCTTTCTGTGCGGCCCGGTACCTAATGACCCACGGATCGGTACCGGTCCCCGGCCCGGGGGTTGGGGACCACTGGTCTAAGATATGCCGACGTTCCACATGACGGACAATTTAGAGTGTTCCATTAACCTGCCATGCGTGTTTTTGGAATGTGTGAGGAAACCGTAATACCCGGAGAAAACCCACGCAGGCAGGCCACAAGCTCCACACAGGGAGGCCACAGCCAGAATCGAACCCTGCACTTATACACTGTGAGGTCGACGCGCTAACCAGTCGCCCACCGGGCCGCTTATAATATAGTGCGCCCTGTCTATAAAAAGCGTTTTAAAATAGGGTATTCATTGAAGGGGCGCCTTATACTCTGAAGTGCCTTATAGTGCGGAAAATCCGGTAATACAAAACGTAACGTTTGGTACCTGGGGTGACATACCTGGGGTGACCTGTATAAAAGAAATAAATCAGTTCTGTTTTTTATTATTTTTTTCCTTGTGCGAATGGTAGTTAAAAGGCTACACAGATATGCACTGAAAATGACTTTCCGCTTTTCATTTTCCTTTGAATACGTGGACCTTCTTGTACGGTTGTTTGTTGCTGCCATTTCAACATTCACAGCGGTCCCTTTGCCAAAGCAGTACTTGAACTTCTGTTTGCGTCATCGCGCGCGGCAGGTGAAGAGGTGACCGCTCGGGCTGCCGTGTAGAGCGGTGAGCCAGGGCCCTGACAACGTGCTTCACTAACTCCCCGTCCTGGCTTTTCACTGCCGTCTTTTATCCTCAGTCATCTGACACTCGTTGGGGATCAAGGCTCACTTGTAGTCACAAACGACGACGGCGCTGATATCATCGCTGCGGCGAGGTTCTATTCGCCAAAGAGGAATTGGAAGTCTTAAGATCTCAGATATGTGTTGCGTCATTGACTGTCAAGTGATTTGAAGATTTACCTCGGTCGTCGCCTTGACTTGGGGAATTATTTTGGAAAAAAGCCAACAGCAGGGAATGGAGGCAATCAACTCACCTTCTCCTCTGATTCGATTGGGGTTGAAATTGATTGGTTGCTTCTCGGTGATGGTGTCCAAAAATTCACGTTGAGCTAATTGACGCACCCATCTCATCTTTGACATGCGGCTGATGTCAAAACTGTGATAAGCAGCTGCAATCAGCAAACATGAGCATGCCTGGCCAAGCTTCTAATGAAATGTCATTATCTCATCTATCATATGAACATGATGTGTTTCATGAAACAGTTGTTGAATCTCAAATGGAACCTCAGCAGATGTCCGTTTGAATTCTCTTTTCTCTTCGCATTTTAGGGATGCGCCCCAGACCGGCGACGGCGGCCCCAAGACTCCCCGCTCCAAAACTTCATCCCGCTTCCCAAGACTGGGCCGCGGCCAGCACCAGGAAGCCAGACCGGAACCCCAAAGTGGCGACCTTTAACACACCAAGACCGTTTATTTGTCTTTGACGTTTTCATGATGTCCAGGTCAGCAGCCCACCCGTGTCCAACCGCTGCCGTGAAGACTTTGAGGGCATCCGACATGACTTTATGGCCAACTGTCAGCCAAAGTGATGGCAGCGTATTTAAATATAGGAGATGCCAAGAGGCTGGACCAAATCACACCGTACCTCTTACCTCACTAAGAGACAAACTGAACTGCCACTCTTGAGATGCTGGCTTTTATTTCTTACTATGCTCCTTTCTGTAGTAAAAGTGTGTGTAGTCACAGTGCCTACAGTGTATATTACAGCTGTGTTGATAGCTGATCTATAGCAAGTGATTGATTCAGTCTGGGGACTCCGTCTGCTTTATGGTGCCATTACATTTGAGCTAATCACGTCTCCCAATCGGCCACAACGTTGGCCAAGTGCTTGGGCACTCACAGTTGGGACCTTCCTATGTGAAGTTTGTCTGCCTCCCCGTACTTGTTTCGTCTGGTTCGCGTGAACGGCTGTTTGTGTCTATGTGCCCTACGATTGGCCGGCGAAGGAAGACCGCGCCCCAGAAGTCAGCTGACTTGAGGCTCCAGCTCGCCCGTGACCCAAAATGAGGACAAGCAATGTAGACAATGAACAATCTCTGGTGTGGACCACCAGGTAATGTATTCTTCTTTGTGTTTCCTTCCCATGTTTTATGAGGGCGGGGCATTATGCATCATCATGTCCAACAATTATCATACTCAAGGATTTGGGTTGTACACCACTGACACAACACATAACGCATCATCAGAGCTTAGAATAGTTCCCATTGAATTGCAGGTTGATGCCACTACAGAAATGCCTTGTTTAAGGATTAGGGCTCATGTTTCCTAGCAGGATTTAACACAGCGGCGCATTGCAAATGAATGTCGTAACAAAGACTAAACACTTGAAATGAAGCAGAGCTGCTCATGAAGAGTGCAAGGAGAGCGTCTGCGAGCCACCAAGTGTGGATAATAGGGGGCTCATGCATATGCAGAGCTCTCCCCAAGATGGGTACCAGATTCCGGGACCACGAGGGCCGATCGTTTTCTGCAAATTCCACTCGTCAAAACTTGGAGCTGAGGGTCACTTGTGATTTTTCTTTTTTTTTAACCCTGGATGGAGGTGAAAAAACAAAACGAGCTGCTTCTTTGATGCAAAGTGTCACTTTTGGCTTCAAGAGACTTCACTTTGACTTGGTTGCTCAATAAAGACAAATCCTATTGGAATGAATGTTTTTTGTAATTTTTTTTTTTACCCCCCCCAAGCCCCCACACTTGACCATATTTGTCTTGAGCTAAAAGAAGAGCACATGATGTGTTTTCTACTTTCCAGAGAGTCAAACGGTAGAATTCATGACATTTTGAGTGACAGCATATTTCCAAAATAATTTACCACAGTCTTCTTCCGCCATGTCAAGGATTCATCACCTCTTGCCCCCAGCATTTAAAGGAGGAGCTGCTTCGATCGCCAGTGAAACAAATTTTTTGAAATGCTGCTCCAGCTTTTATGGGTGGTGCAAATAACATCGCTTAGTCTAGCCCACCCCTGCGCAGATTTACACCACGTATGAAAATAGAACCCGTCATCTGATAAAACCAAGTTGAGCTTACCATACCTACAGTGAAGCATGGTGGTAGCGGCGCTGTTTTTCTTAAGCTGGAACTCCGACATTAGTGGAGTTGGTCAGTGGATCGTGAATGGTCAAAATAAAAATCCTAAAAAAATAAAGTTTAAAATCATAGTGTGAGTGAAGATAATTGCAACTGAGTCATGCATGGAAGCTTTTTTAATCAGGATCTTTGGTTGTAAATCATACGAAAGGTTACGATATCAAAGAGAAAGCGCTTGCAGCATCATGGCACAAAATACAGTAAAGGTCACCTCAAACAAATCCTTCTTTGCATTTCTATAAATGATCACAATAAGTTTCTAAGTTTCCTTGCAAAGGGAGCTGCAAACCAGGCCCAAAATGAGCATGCTGCAAGGAGAACGTTTCCATTCATGTGAAAAATGTTTTGAAATGCCCGAAACAACAACGAGCAAAAATAGTTTTCAAAAATACTGTATAGCAATGAATGATCTTGGGCTGACTTGTAGCCAGTCACAAGAAGGAGTCATACCAACTCAACAATCCCAACTCCTTTCAACTCTGCTTTTCCTGTGCATTTGGGTCATTTCAGTGCACTGTGGCAATTAGCATTGTTAGCCTCTCCCACAGCGATTATTTCCACATGTAATTCCCTAATAAAGTGGCCTTAAGAATAGAAATGGCTCAGCCATCCCAGAAAAGCTGCTTGTCTTGAAGTGTTGTATGTACCGTACTTTAACTCACTATGAAAGAAGAGAAAAAAATGTTTTATTGCCTTCATTTGCCTGGAAATTTTCAGTTATTGATTCTATTTAGTTTTGCAGCCCTTTTTGACACTTGTTGCCATTTATGAAGTTGAACGTTTATTGTACTCAAATTCTTGCTGTTGAAATTTAGACTCTGGGATGCTAGTTTATGTGAATATGCCCCCCCCCTACTGGCCAGGTTTGGCTACTGCAATTAGGTGTGTGCACTCCTTACAAGGGTCAAGGGTCAAAAGCAAGATGGCCGCCTCAGGTCTGGTGTGCATGGACTCAATGGAACAATGGAGAGCACATTGAAGCAGGCCTCTCGGCAAGAAGTATTTTGTTTTTTTTTTAACTGCAAAATGTTGACATTTTTTAACCTCATTTTCAAGCTTTGAAGATCAGGATAGTTTGGAATATCCAGCCACCACCTGTAACCCGTTTCCTGATTTCCTTGCATGAACAAACAAATGGTGAGTGAATGCATTGAATCCCTCCCAAGAGTTGTGCCGAATGCCGACATTTGTATGAATGTATGCAGCTGAAACATTGAAATTCTGTGAAAATGGCAGAACGACTGGCTCTTGTACTGCTTGGTGCCCTAATAACTTAAAAGTCTCATCAGATGCGATACAGAACAGAAAGGCTAATGAAAGCCACCATGATTGTATCGAATTGTGACGTCACCTTTCAAATCTCTGATAGTTTTTTTGACATTGGAGTTGAGTCGGACAAAGCAAGTGAGGTTATACTCGTGAGTCTTTTCTGCGCATGTGGACTTAATGGCCACAACGTGTACCATACACTTGCGTTGCTATTAATGTTCATCCTGTACTCGCATGCAGTTCTGCTGCGCGTGAATACGTGTGTTCTGTACTGTATGTCACTTTCTGCATTCACCCATGAACAGGTACGCTGTCGTAGGCGCGTACGTTCAATACAGAAAGCAAGAGCGTGTGCGTCAGCGCTCGCGTTTGAACCCAATGCATGAATCTATAAAAATGGACGGATTCTGTAAATGACATCGCCGCCGCATCTGAGGCCCAGCGTGCATCTGCTTGCTTGCCTCTTCAGTCATTATTTATTCTTGACTGCTTCACAAAGCAGTCTCAGAGCTTTAATTTCAACCACGCTGCCTTTATGTTGGGTTTCTGTAGGAGTTCCGGGCGCCGAGAAAATGACATGTCAAGGCAAATTGATCAGTGGCTGCTGACCAGAAAATTGTGTTACAAGCTGGATTCAGGATGTTATTGGCCACTGGGCACTAGTGACGGCAATTTGACTTACAAGCCTCAATAGGTCTGACAGATTGACCATTTGCGGTTTAACAATTTTTGTTGACGTGAACAATTAAAAAATTGTCAATTCATAAAAAGTGTGCGTGCAAATTAATTCGTCGCACACAGACACGTCCGATCTTGGTGGCATCCCAACTTGTCATTTATCCCGATGCAGGTCTGCTCGCAGTTTCTGATGAATGTCCTTTGTGCACCTTGACTTGTCGCAGTCTTCTTCCGTCACTTCAAAGACAATCGGAATTTAAAGGGAATGATCATAGCTGCTTCAATTGTCAGTGAAACAAGTTTGCACCAGCATGTATGGGTTGTGCAAATACCATTACTTAGTCTAGCCCACCCCTGCGCAGATTCACACCACGCATGAAAATAGAACCCGTCGTCAGATAAAAACAAGTTGAGATTTTTGGGTCGAATTCCAACACGGCTCATCAACCCAAAAAAAAAATACCATACCGACAGCGAAGCATGGCGGTGGCGGCACTGTTTTTATGAAACTGGAACCGCGGCCTTTGTGGAGGTGGTCAGTAGATAGTGAGTGGTCTAAATAAAAATGTAAAAAAATAATAAAAGTTAAAACGATAGTGTGACTGAAAAAGATAATTGCAACTGACTCATGCATGGAAGCTTTTTTTAATCAGGATCTTAAGATGTCTGAGTTCAATAGGGTGTATTGATTAGCTATTATCCAAAAATGACACATAAAACTGGATCAGGAAAAGGTAGAACATGAACACAAGGTGATTTTTTTTTTTTTTTTCGCTGCATGTGACTTGAAACATGAGACTGATGTGATTTAAAATGTTGAACTCCCACCAGGCTTGGGGCAACAGATTTGCCATCTTGGATTGTTCTTGTCCATTCTTGTACCACTTTTTCCCTTCTCCTCGGGGACATCGAGCTTTAGCTTGGCTATTTTTCCAGAACCGAACGTAATGATCGAGCTCTTAGTGTTGCGAAGGGGAACATCAAAGAGACAGGGGCTCCTGGTTTAAACAAGGTCACCGTATAAGCAGCTTCTCTAGCCGAACAATGCACAACGCTGGCTTGCATCGTAAAGCGTCCTCATTATCATGATAAAAAAGCCCAGTGATGTCTCGGGGAGCCAATACAAATGTGGTGTACTGTCAAATCAAATTTTTGTATAGTTTTAGAAGAAAGATTTAACATTACATGCATATGTCATTTCATGTGCATTTCTATGAATTAGGTTTTGGATCCAATCAGCGAGTTAAGAAAAAAAAAAAAAGATATCCGACCACAATACGGAACATTTTATCGAGTCCATTAAAAAAAAAAAAAATAAATTAAATTACCGTATCGCCGAACCCTGCTATTCGCAGCGCATTGAGACCAGCCCGGCACACAAATAGCCAAAATAATGTCCATTGAAATGTATTTGAGGAATAAAGTAACAATTAAGCCCTGAAAATTCTCCCCCCCCCCCCCAAAAAAACATTCAATACACAGAAGTTTGATGCAGATTTATTTATTTATTTATTTATTTTGTAAGGAAACGGTTTTCTTTGCTTTAATGGGCCCCATTAAATTATTAGTTGGCCTGGATCTGGCCCCCGGAGCTCGGGTTTGACACCTGTGGTAGAGTTATTTGCTTGCCTTTGGGATCTTTTCCCACTCATTGGTGGTTTGAATGGTAATCTGTCAACTGCGGCTTGGTTCCAACCACCCGCAGATCTAAACAAGATGCGCTTAGCATTGGAAGATGGACGGATGGATGGATTGACACATTTCCTGACTGAGAAACGTATTTATTTCCAAGATCCCTGTCATCTCTGCCTCTGCATTTTTTTTTTTTTTATCTCAGATTGCACTTGATCCCCCCTGCTAAGGCGCTAGCCACACCTGCAGGTGTTCTCATCACGCTTGTGGTTTGATCAAAAGTGCGCCCTTGGGCTCCTGTGAGCGCCCGTGATCGTTTTGTGATGACACGCATGCAGGGAAAACACTTCAGTCGACGACCTGAAGGAAGCGATAAGTAAACAAAGTCAAATGAAAGGATGAAACATGGAAACGGTATCTTGGCCTCTGAATTGTCTCTGAACGATGCCGCGTCAAAGGGTAACTTAAGGTACGCGGTTGCCGTCGTCAGTTCACAAGAAATTAGCATCTTTGCTATCTAATGACGGCGATGTTGCTGCTGAGCCTTTCATTAATCCTCTGAATGTTGCAATTCTTTCAAGAGAAATCACACTGTTGAATTTAATCAACAGAATGCAAGATACTCAAAACATATCAATTTAGAACACGGGTGACAAACTCAAGGCACGCGGACCATATGCGGCCAACCAAATCCTTTTGTGGGGCCCACTGAAGAGTTTGTGTCAGCTCCATGTTTCTTTTTTACATGCATTCATTCTTTATCTCTCTCTTATTTTGTCAGAGAGTCTGCACTACAATTGAATAACTTGTATACCGTACTTAAATATTTGATTGCCACTATTTTTCCGTGACTTCTGATTTCCAAAATAAAAATTATTGACGCGGTAGGGACACAGGAAGGCCGTTCGTTAGGCAGTCAGTGAGTGTCGTTGAAATCTACATTGTGCAAGCTTTTCTGGGTCGATTTTCAAATCAAAATAT